AAGAGTCAGGACCATTTGATGCTGAGATTGAATGTCCTGTCCTCTCAAGAGAATGCCAAGCATCTATATCTGACTTACTTGAAAAAACAGGGATGCTTCATGTCACTGGGGTGAATGATAGCCAGTTTCAGCACGTAACTAACTGGCAGCAGATCAAAAGGCTTCTCCCCTTCCTCTTTTACTCAAGGACTGGTCTTAAACATTAGCATGTGACAGGCCCTGGAATCTGGGGAGGAAAGATCTCAGGCCTCTCTCAGGAGCTCATGATGGGCACAGGAGAGAGGCAGGGCAGATAAGAGTGATGTGGGACCAGAACACCGAAAGGGAGCCTGGGGATGGATGGGAGACTCCAGAGCTTGGGTGTCCTGACTCCTGGGTCAGGGCCCCTTTAACTGTGACATTCACTCCATGGCACCATCTGGGCTTCTCACAGCTGATGGTAAGGCATCTCGCCTATATGTTCCTGGCAAAGCAGCAGAGCTCACTGACCATAGACTGAAATCTGCAGTGCCCTGAGTCCATACCAATCGCTTACTATTTGCTAATGATCTCAGGATTTCCTATAATAACAGAAAAATAACAAACTCACACGTTTGTGGGAGATTAGTGAGATATCTCTGAAGAATCTTAAAACTGCACAGAATCCATCTCTGTAAAGTCCAATTCACTGAGGCTGGACCCTGCCCTGCAGTCTGCCCCATTCAGGTAACTTCTTTCTCTTTGTGGCCACTTCATCTACATAGTTCCAACTTTGCCCTTGGCACTGACTAGATTTGTACTGACTGGAGTCCCCTGTACATGAGCAGAGGAAAAGGAGCTGTGATGGGCCTTGAAGAAGATGGAGAGGAAGGAGAGGGCTACAGTGTCATGAGTGACACCCCCCAGCCCTTCTCCTGCAGGCACCAGGGGGCCCAGTGGGCTCAAGGGGACCAAGAGATACCCCAACATTGGGACAGAGGAGACCCATCAGACACAGGAGGTGGCTGGACATTGTGCCATGTAGATAAAGCTTGGGCAAAGACCAAATGTTCTCAGATAAACCTTGCCTAGATATATATTATATTCCTTGATCTACTTGTAGGTATAATTTGTCAGTAGGTTGTTGGACTAATATGGTTCCCTCTGTTTTTTTTAAAACTAGCTAGGCATTATTTATCTCTTGCATTGTCTAACCCTTCCACCATGGTTTCCCCATTTAAGATGCCTCCATTTCTCCTTTAATAATACCCTTCTCCTATGGTCCCACCTTGCTTGAGGCCCTTCTTTCAGTTTATCCCCTAGGTTCCTTGTATAACCTTCCCTCCCCCCTCCCCATATAATTTTACTTCATTGGATAAATCTATATTCTCCATTTCTAATTGTAGCTTTCTATACACTCTTCCAAATTTTTCTTTTTTAAAATGGGATCAGGCAAATATTTCTGTATGAATGTCTTTTACAACATGGACACGATCTTGCCTAAAGACTTTTTCTTCACTTTGCAACCAAAACATTACTCTTTGTAATATAAAGAAGCTTACTGAGCTATGTGGCCTTCTTGTGACCTGAGCATATGAGGGAAATTCCTTAGGACCCCACTTTGCACTCCACCCAATTTAGTGAATGAATGTGGGTTTGCTTGTTGAACATGTCAAAGCACTGGAAGAAACACGTTCTCCTTGAAAACAATGAGAATAATTGAGAAGCCTGTGAGTGAAAGATATTTCAGATTTAGGAATTAAAGAGCCAGATTCTTTGATAAGGGTGAATCAGGTGGTTCTCAGAGTTTGAGTCTACTCATGGCCTTGAAACTAAAAGCCAGGAGTCTTACTGTTTATTTTTTCAGTTGTAACTTTAATGTGTCTTAGTATACAGTTGCAACAACTATTACCTCCTATTACCTAGGTTTCAAATGTTTTTAATGAAGTTAACATTAATTCAAAAAGGTACCTGTAGGTCAATAAGTACTTTTAAAATAAGAACAAGCACTTAACCACTATCAAGGTTAAGGAATAGAACAAAGATATTTTTTATAATTTTACTCTTAATATTATATAGAAAGAGCAGATTTGAAAATTCAATTTTATATGGTATTATTAAAAGTCTCTTAGGGCTAGGGAGAGGGCACAGTTGGTAAAGAGCTTATAGCACAAGAAATCCCCAGAATACATATAAAAGGCCAGACTTACAACCAGCCAAATGTTGGAAAATAAGAGACTGCACAGTGCCTGTTCCTGAATAGTACTCCTGTATCAAACCTCCGCTACTCAGGGCTTACAGACCATTGCAGAAGAGAGGGCAGAAAGACCAGAAGTGCCAGGGGTGACAGATGACTACAAAAAAACAGAGTTTTCCATGCAGCTGGGAACTTGTGCTTATGAACTTACAGCAATGGTGACAACATGCACAACACCCATGCAAACACACACCAGACAAAAACCCAGCGTGGAACCGGGAAAATGTGTAAAAAGCCTGAACCTTAGCTGAGGGATTGTTGCCTACAGATTACTGCTGGGTGAGAGAGAGTCAGTCTTCTTTAAGGGACACTAGATAGGGTGACCAGGCACCAGTGGATAAATTCATACCAGGGGACATGTCTGGACACAAACCTGACTCAGGTCTTAATATATATCATAGAATGCATGAAATTCAGTGGGGGGCTATGGGACAATACAGATAGACAAGATGACTCAATATGGTCAAAATGTATTGTTTGAAATGCAAAAAAAATTCAATACTTTTTTTTTAAGGCCAGGCTTGTTTACATGTATTTGTAATTTGAGGACTGGGGAGGCAGAGAAAGGATGATCCTGAAGGCCAGCCAGCATAACCGAATCAATGAGCACTTGGGTCCAGTAAAAGATCCTGTTTCAAAAACAAACATGAGGGGCTAGAGAGATGGCTCAGTGAATAAGAGTTCTTGTTGTTCTTGATGGTGACCTAGGTTCAATTCCCAAAACACATGTCTGCTCACAACTACCTATAACTCCAGTTACAGGGGATTGATTTCCCTCTTCTGGTCCCTAAGTCTACCTGGCACATATACATAAATGCAGGCAAACACTCAAACACAATAACAAAAAAAAAAGGAAGTTCTTAAAATTTTAACATGGGTGGCTCCTTAGGAACAATAGCCAAGGGTTGACTCCTAGTTTATACACACACACACACACACACACACACACACACACACACATCCCACATGTATAGCTAAAGGCTACATAACAAGCAACAATGCCAGACAGGTGTGACCTTCTTTTGAGTTGTTGGCCAGGGTGGCCAAAGGGATTCCCAGATAGTAACCCAGCATAGAACTGGGAAAATGAACAGCA